TAAACGACTCGAAACTAAAATAAAATAGGAAATCGATTCGTTAGTGGCGTCGTTGTTAGTCAAGTTGAAGCAAAACAAGCACGATACAAAGAGGCTGGGCAAACGCAAGCATGCAACAAAAGCACGATAGCACAGCTCATCGATTAATCACCCGAATCCGATATGGAATGCGGATTTCCACGAATCTCGACCAATTGTTCGAAAAAAAATAAAGCAACAAGATATAATATTCTATTCGAACTACTATTCGACGATAATAACAATGGACATTCCATATCGAACTCGTGTGTACTTTTTTTTTCTTTTTTTTTTTAATGGAGTTAAAAACAAAATGTACTCACCGTTATATGAACTATGGTACTACGACATGTACGTGAATTATTAACGAGGGTTGCCACACGCGTGTGAGGTGCATATTTTTTTTTCTCTAAAACTATTGAGTGCATATGTACACAGACTAGTGTGCACGAACAAAGAACATGAAAGGAAATAAAAAAAAAAAAAAAATGAAAGAGAAGACGTACAATTGGGATAGGTTGGAATTGAATTGGGGTGACAAATGTTCGTCCAAAATCAAGTCGTTCAACATGCCAAAAATGACGTTAATTTTGAAAGTATATTTAAATTGACACGATATATTAATTGAACAAATTCAATTATTCATTTTGTTACACTCGTTTTTAAATTAGAATTCCAGGAAAATAGAATTTTTGATTTTTGATGTTATCCAAAATAAAAGAAAAAAAAATAAGAAATAATCATATTGAAAAGTTGATCTTAAAAAAAATCTCTTTCTTTTGGATACACGTTTCAAAATATTATAACAAAATAATGTTATAATCTCATAATCAGAGGAGATTATTGAAGCTTTGTACGCAAGTGTCGAGATATTTTTTTAAAACTATCAAATCGATGATTTAAGAAACTTTTCGCATATCTAATTAAAATACTTAAGGATATCTAACAAAAGAGATTTGTTCGTGGTCGGGAAAACAAACGGCCTTGAGAAATCGATCGATTTTGAACGAACTATAGCATTACGTATTTACAGTAAGGGTTGGGGACGATATATGATACGATAATACAGGTGAACAAAAAAAAAAAAAAGAACAAATAACAAAATGCAGCCGTGATTTTGCACAAAAAAATGGCGTCTATTCACATACATTCGCTCATTAAATTTTAACGACATCGTTCGTCGGTATGTACATTCGAGTGGCAAAATGCGCTTTCTTCGTTCATCGAATACAAAAAAAAAAAGGTGGAGGGAGAGAGAAGAAATATACATATTTATGAATATACAAGTGCACACAAGTAAAAGATGAGCCTTACACGCTAGTAACACATACTATATATACACATATACGATACAAAGTGTGTTGCATGCTCCCCTACCCTAGGTTGTAAGTAGATATCTTTAAATATTAGTCGCAAGCTGGTATAGCGAGAGAGACGTGAAATAATGTGCGTATTTAGTGTATATTTAGTTGTCTGATTGTATTTGATTAAAATGATGCAATCCAATATGAATTTTAAATTAATTCAGAGTACATGTTGCGATCATTGTATTCGACAGTGTTTTTAAAATGTCTATCTATTCACGATTTGAATCAAATTTATATCAATAGTAAACTTTTAAAAAGAAATATAAACATCACGAGGAAGAATAATTCAAATATTTCTTCGAGCAAAAGTTGAAAAAGATTGCTCTAGATTTTTTTTCAAAATCGAATATATTCGAGATCGTTCCAATTTTTTACGAGGAACACATTTCATTTCAAGGGTTAATCCTTAACCGACGTGCTACGAATCAAATTGTTACTGCAAACATATTTCTTTCTACAAGCTTCGTATTTTTCATAAAAGAGAACATATATCCACGTGTATCTCAATGAATAACAAAGTCCAATTGATTTTGTTACGTATCGTGAAATATCGTGAATTTCTTTTTCTCTTTTTTCTTTTTTACTGACAGAAAAAGTAAATACTCTATCTTTAAAATTTTTCCAAACAAAAGAATACGATTCCATTATTTATGCGACATTAAATGCACATCAGCCAAGGATTAATCCAGGAGACATTTTAGGAACACATCGTAAATACATCGAGTCTCGAATAATGTACTCTGTTCGTCATGTTGATGGCGGAATTAGACACTATAACGATGAAGTCCCCGTATTCGAAGTTAGTCACTAGAATGTTAGTGCTAAACGCTACTTACAACGAGGGGTGAGCACGCTTTCGGCTAACATGCGACACGGCAAGTCGGGGGCACACTTACTGTTCTTCACCACATGCCGAAACGTGAACTCGTTTGCTACAATTCTTTTCTTTTTTTTTTTTTTTTTTTTTTTTTTTTTTCTTTTCTTTCTTTCCGTTTCGTTCCATTTAACTTTACATCACTTGTTATGCATCGCGTCGTGCAATTCATCGATAAACGCTGGTCACACGAGTAAAATTATTTAACAGAAGCGTATAAAATATTGTATATTTTGGTATAAACTACGATTACAACGATGACGTTTCCGTGACACGAGCACAATTAAAACAAAATTTAAATTAAAATTTTTTGATGAAAGAGAATACAATTTTGTATCTGACAGATAAAAAATTACTTTTAATTATATGATTATAATTTATAATATTTTTCCTTTACTTTTTTCTTTTTTTTTTTTTCCAATCATTGTTTGGAATGCAAATTTAAAGTTTTAAAGAGTAAAACTATTCTCAAGAGTTTACTTTTCATTAACGGATACCCGGCATCGAGAATGAAAGTTATTCTCGGCTGGCAATATCCAATTACGAAAAATATTCGTGAGAGCAAATCTCAAGAAGACTTTTTACTCTTCAAATGTATTCCCTTAATCCAATATATGCTCTATCTTCGTTCTCCCCGATATCTCAGCAAACAGAAGAAAACAGAAAACAGATAGGAGAAGTTGTTATTTATCGTGTACGGAATTTTATTATTATTGTATTCGAATTCCTATACACGATTTACAAGTAATAATACTCGCTGAACAGGCGATTCTAACCTCTTAAAGCGATCGAATCCATCGTTCACGTGCAACTTTTTTGTAACTCAATACGCTCAGATGTGTAAAAAGAAAAATAGAAAGGTCTCATATGCACACATATGAAGAAGATGTATAGTAACCTAATCTAATCTAGGACAAGATGGGCATAAATTCCAGCTGGTGAACTGCCCGCAAAGTACATGTATATTCCGCTTGATTTCTTACAATTTTCTTTTTTTTTTTCTTTTTTTTTTTTCTTTTCTTTTCTCTTTGCTTTCCTATTAGGTTACCATCTTTTTGGGAGTCTTTTTTTTTTTTTTTTTTTAGTGACCGTTGCTTTCGAACAGATGGCTCTCATTATATAATTGTTAAAAAAATTTTTTAAAAATGTAATAATGTATATAATCGAACGACACCTTGGGAATATAGCACCTCTCAAATATTTTAAGACATCGTTTACTTTAATCTTTATTCGTTTATATCTCTAAATTTAATAAATATTAACTATTTACACGATTGGACGGAATTGATGATATTCATTTTTATTTTTTAAATCGATTTATGGTCGATTGAGAATCATAATAGTTCGATTGATAAAAAAATGAATGTAATTTAAACCTAAAATAACATTAAAAATATATATATCTTTTTTTAATAATATTTATTTATTACAATTATAAATGGCTTACATTATTACGATTCTCATCTGCCATAGATATATCTTTATCAATTTATACCAAATCTTAATAATATCATAAGTTTAAAGGTAATTGTTAAGATCAATGATACATTTGATTAAAAATTTGCAATATTTCGATTAGTCTCGTTTCAAATCAAATATATTTCAATCGTGACAATCGTTTTAAAAATCGCACTCTTATATATAAATATAATTTCTATTTAACTACTTTCTATTTCCCCCCCCCCCCCCTCAATTTAATCCTTCTCTATAAAATCATATCAATTCTATTCCATCACGAATTCCTCTAGCCACAAATTTTCCGACATTTTAATTACAATCAGTTTTTTTTTTTTTACACAATTCTGATCTTTGTATCATAGGAATACGCAAATTCCAGTTAGATGTTTGTACAAATTATTCATAGATCACTCGACGTGACTCAGCCCAGTACTTATAAATCACGTGCAAGCGAGAAAAGAAGAAGAACACAAGGACGACAGATAAGAGTAATTAATCGCGTATTGCGCTAATTGGAAGTTTGAAAGGGTAATGAAAATTTCCCTTTATTTACAAATACTATACGGCTTGCAACAACATCTCCGCGAACAGCTGTTCTCATTTTTTTACCCCTCCCCCCTCTCTCTATATATATATATCGCGACACGTTTCACTTTTTCAGCAACAGCGATGATTTATGCGAGACGATTATCAAGAACGCGAAATGATACAGCGAACCATGAATCATTTCTTTTCTTCGATGCGCGCTGTGGGATATCGTTATAGAATTTGTTCACTTTGTATCGTCGTCTTTCGCATAGAAGAAGAAGAAAAATACTTGGCACGCAAAATAATTCTTGGATTTATTTTATCGGTATTTTTTAATTGAATTTTAACGCGTATCGAAAGTCAAAGACTGAAAATGTTTGAAAATGTTCGTGGTTCAAGTCATTGGTGAAATAATTATTCAATTGATTTGTCAATTCTTGAATCGGTTAAATCATCTTTTTTTGATTCTGAAAATGTGAAAAAATATTTTTCAAGCATTAGTGTTTAAGAGACTTTTTCTGATTTACAATTTTTTTTGTTTTTAAATATACGACAAGTATATTCTTTTTGAAGAGAAATTTATTATAGAATAAATAAGAAAAATGGAAATTTACTACGTTAAATGTTTGAAAGGGAAATTTTTACTCGAGTATGAAATATACAAAATGAGTTTATCAAAAAATTGTTCGAAGGCAATCTAAAAGTATGATTAAAAGCTGTTAAAAGAGCAAAAGAAGGTCAGATAAAATTTTAATTATTTTAAATTATTAAATTTCTTCTCTTTTTCTATTTCTTTTTTTTTTGAGATGGTGTATCTTCAATTAAAACGTTATTTAAGAATTAAGATGACACAAGGAAAACGATATCTTGAAAATAATTGTAAAATTTTCATTACGATTGAATTTTGTTTTACAATACAAACATATGTTTCAAAGAAATTCTTAAGGTCTTGGAATTTAGAGAAGAAAACACGATATTTCCAAGAAATCGGATAATCCTAATAGAATAGTGAAAGGACAGAATTAGGACAAAAGTATCACGAAACTTTCCATCGCCGATTAGACTTGCCATTGAATCAAATAAATTACTTTAAACATATAAATTAGTCGGTTATCAAGTGACAGAAATATGTATATATCACATGATTAGTAATTCCACTACTGCAAGTTATATTACGTGACCTATGGCTATCTCTCATGACGTAACTCGAAAAATAATCAAGCAATGAACTGATTATAAATCATGAAAGCCATAAAATCACACTTATGTCGCACAATTTGTCAACCTTTGTCTTGATATTTGTATTTAAAATGGATATCTTTTTCTATTCTTGCATATATATATATAACATTGAGTATAAACGAAAAGAAAAAGGAAACTCTAAAATTGGTATTTGTTTTTTGAATTTTGTTACTATTAAATATACTATAATGTAAATTAAAATATTTTTAGAAATTACATTCCTTTTTCTGTAAATCATGCTTAATTAATTATTATTTAAATAAATTTCATGCTATGTTAATTATTTATTCGAAAAATTAATTAATTTTGAACTTTTTGAAAAATTTTTTCCAGAAACTAAAGGATAAAGTTCATCAATTTGATTTTTCTTCAACTTCTTTTTTAAATATGTCTATTTAAAATATATTTCAAAAATTTTTGATACTGATTTTAATAAATATCATTTTATTTATTACTTCTCTTTTTCAGAAAACTTTTCAATTTATAGGTGAATCTCGTATTTTGTAAAAATAATGTGCAAAAATCTTTTCGTCGAAATTTTTATGTATAATTTCTAGATATGGCAATCAAATTTTATAAGATTAATAAAAATATGATAAATATTTAAAACAACAAGACTATTAACGCATATAATCTTCGATACGTTTAAACTCTCAACTTGAAAGGCTAATAATCGTCGAATATTCAATAATGATATAAAACGAATACGTATTTAAATGATCGATAAATAATTAAATTTTGAATTCATTTCTAGACTTAACGTATTAAACTAAAAAATTAAAACATTCAAATATTAAAAGATAAACGTTACCATTATCAAATTTAATCGATAAATGAATTAAGAAAAAAAAAAATAAATTATTAAGTGGAAATATAAATATGTTATCCTCGTGACATTATTACATTTTTCATTGTTTGTTCTTTTGTGCAAAAATTGTTCGTGAAATAGATAACGAGAACAAGAAACTAAAAGAAATAAATGAAATAAATAAAAATAATATATATTTAAAAAATTTCATTTATCAACTATGAATCATCGTATGTTTAGAAATATAATTGCGTTGTTTTTTCTCTGTGTGATTACTTAATGTATTGGATTCGTTTTTTTCTTTTTATGCAAAAATTTAAAGTTGATAATAACAACGAGAAAGTGAAAAGTCACACGGACAACTCAACACACGTCTCTCGTGAAATTTCGTAAACCTATTTGGTGGACGTTAATCAATTTATTGATTGCAAATCGTTTTATTCGTTGCCAAGAATGGACATGTTTCATAACACGAGATTGAGATTGTTTCACTTGATTGTGCTCAATATACAAGCAAATAATACGATTATTACACATGTGTATATTTACTCAATTGACACGTGTCTTGATTATTTTAAACTAAGTTTTGTAAAAGAATATATAGTTCTTTTCAATTCAAATGTAATTCTGTTTCTCAAAAATTTTTAAATAATTAATTATGTAATTTGATTTCACGTTAGAAAACGAAAAATTTAGAACAAAACTATATGAGAGAATGAAAACGAAGGATACATTTGACAATATCACGATATTTTACAAATTATTTAATATAATTAATTTTAGAAATAAATTACTCAAAAACTTTTCTCTTTAAATTAGAATTTGCAATTTGAAAGAAGGATTGTATATTGTTTTTACTCTTTATTCTTTTACTGTTTACCAAATTATATTTTTTTTATGAATATGCAGATATCGAGGAAAGAAATAGTTAAAAATTTTAATCAATTTCTTCGATTTTCTTCGGAATCTATATTTAATTTCTAAGATAATGTTAAAGTTAATCTATGCATATTGCGCTGAATAGCGAATTTAATATTATTATATAAGAATAATATTGCGCGATACCAATTTACTGACAAACTACGCAGTTGACACAAGTTACAAAGCAAAACGAGCCGTTGAAAAGCTAAATATTATCAATTATTTAAAAACAATAAAGTAAAATCGAAACGCGGAAAATCAATTTTTAAGATATATATTTCGATTTAAAATATTTTATCTTATATCTCGTTCTTAGATACGATGAAAAAAAGATTAAAAACGAGAGGCCTGATCTATCACGAAACCGTAAATTTTTCCACTTATGGAAAAATTCTTGGAAATAAATTCCAACGATAAACATTGGATATTTATCAAAGAATAATGCTATCTATCTCCAACCGTAAAAATTGAAAGAAAAAAAAAAAAAAAAAAAAAAAAAAGAAAATTAAATCCGAAGAAAAAAATTAAAAAAAAAAAATTCCCCATTCCCGCGGGCAAAACCAAAAAACAAAACACAAAAAAACCATAAAAACAATTAATCCTGCTGATCGAATTTTTATTCCCGCCAAATTTTAGTTTTCCAACAAACAAAATTTTACATAAATATAATAAGACGAGAGAACTCAAAATAATTCATAAATAAAAAAAGAAAAAAAAAAAAAAAAAAAAAAAAAGAAAATTAAATCAGAAGAAAAAAATTAACAAAGAAGAATTCCACATTCCCTGCGCGAAAACCAAAAATCAAAAACCAAAAAAACCATAAAAACAATTAATCCTGCTGATCGAATTTTTATTCCCTCCAAATTTTATTTTTCCAACAAACAAAATTTTACATAAATATAATAAGACGAGAGAACTCAAAATAATTCATAAATAATAAAAGAAAAAAGAAAAAACAAAAAGGAGCAAAGAATTCAAAACTGTTAGAATTAAAAAAAAAAAGAAAAGAAAAGGGAGAGAAAGAATTTCTGACTTACGGTGTCGTCTGGTCGCAATAAAAAGAAGATGCCTCGCCAACATATTGGGATGCAACTGTGTAATTCCCCCGCCGACTGTCAAATCTAGAATACCACGAGCTCCTCTCACGATCGAATCTCTCTCACAGGCTATCGAAGCCGGCGACCGCCTGTCTAGCGACAAGGTTTCCTCTTCGCAGCTAGACAGATAACCGCGTTATCATCGCCACACGCTAAAAACGCCAATTTCTTCCCCCCTCGCGGCTCACCGCCAACCGACTCACGCGTGAAGATCTCCAACAACTTCCTGAATCGCTTCGTCCCTCCTCGAACAACGTATATCTACCCAATATATCTAATTCCGTCCATTGATAAACCGTTTCGATCTCTACCGTGGCCAGATGCCATGCGACTAGATTACTTCTTATTATACCCGCCACGAATTACAGATTTACGCGGTTAAATGAAAATTTGATCGATGATCACAGTCGGTCTTCGTTAGGGAGGGGGGGGTCGAAAAGATCGCAAGAACGGCGAAAAATTGCGTCACCTCGAAATATAAATATCGTAGATACGTACGATAAAATTTGGACGACTTGGAGGGATGGTTGGCGGAGGGGGTGGTTGAGAAGAAAAAAGGGACGTGTACGAGGCTGAGAAAGAGCGAGGCTAACTGAGGGCTGCGGCATCCGTTCGAAAGTATTTGAATCGAAACCGCGGGAAGGGAGGGAATTTTGTTTATCTGGATCTGGAATTATCGGGCGGGATAAACATCGCGTCTGATGCAACTCGGTTAGTTATTGAGCCAGCGGCTAATGATGCTGATAAGGGCTAACAAAGTGAGGCTTCATTGGGGGCTCCCTGCTGGACTTTTCCAGCTTATCGGCGTCTTCGTCGCTCCCGGCCGCTCGCTTTATTGCACGCCTCGGTTCAATACCGACCAAGATTTCCTATTTACTTCCCTCTTCTCGGTTTCTTCATAATTTCTTTGTCGGCGGCGGACAAATTGATAAGGATTGGTTTTTTTTTTCAGATTAAGCTTAGGGAGGGGGAGGATGTAAATTTACCTGATCATTGAACGATCGTAGGTAAGAGGATAATTTTTAATTGTTGTTCTCGATGTTGGTTTTAAGTAATATCTTTTTAGTAATTTAAGTGATATTTTTGCGGAAAGGAAATTTCCTACGAAATCTAATTACGGAGAATAATTTTTAGATATTTATTACTAGGTTATTCTATTTTTGATTTTGATAATATTTTGTGATGAAATTGTGGAGTACAAATATAACAATCTATCTAATTGCAGTTGAAAATAATATCCGGACTAAATTTGAGAATTAAAAATTCCTCGACTCTTGCTATTCAATCAAATTCTTCCACTGTTAAAATATTTTTTTTATAGCTCGAGGAAAAACACGCAGAAATATCGATATTGTCAGTATCTTGTTTAATTTTTCTCGTCCCAAATCGACGAAGCCAAAAAGTTTCTCCTCTCTCGAAAAATTAGAGGAATTTATTCGGAGCGATAAAAAAACGGTTTGAAAATCGGGATGGAAAAAAAGCATTCGCTCGTCTTGCGAATCGAGATCGAGAAAGAGAGGAATCCGCGCGCGATAAAACGCTGGTAAATATTTTTCATTGGAGTGACAGGGTGTAATCGGCCTCTCGGTCGAAGAAAAATGGCAAATCCATAGCTCGTTAAAGACGGAGGAACTGATGGTAACGCGTTATCTATTAACCTTGCGAAAGGCATGCGCATTCACATTTGCAAGAAGAATGGCCGGCAGGCCACTTATCGACGAAACTATTGAACTCTGAAATATTCCGTAGGCCGTAAAACGCGACAACAGCCGATTGAATTTCGCGTTTATCGTTTCGCAACGTTACCGTTTAGGGGCAGCTGCCGGCAGACCAAGCCACAGATACAAGGGAAACGTGACTTTTCTATCGTGCGTACGTATACGTATATACGTATATTGACACGGAAAAACATTGCTCGATCTCTTTATCGTTATGGCCGTACAACGGATCGTTTGCCCTCATTAATTTCCAACCAATGACAACCCTCCCGTTATAACGGACGGATCCAAGTAACACGTGAGCGAGCGCCGTACGATAACTTGGACGTCGAGTACTGTTTTTATTATTCCGTTTCGTTCTTTTATTCATCCTCGATCCTTGATCAGATCTCCCGCCGATCGATCTATTTATTGCTTATGACGCCCTCGCCTCGTTAATTATCTAACGCGCGCATATTTACGTAATCGTCTGTATATCTGTATATGCTCGGAAGAGAATCGAGGATTCGACGAGAAGATTTCCTGAAGAGTGGAGAAAGTTATATTTTGAAGGAAGAAGTTTTGGCAATTTTTCTTTTCTTTTTTTTCTTTTGTGAAAAAAAGGGTACACAATTTTTCCTGAATTTTGAACGTACGTGAAAAGAATTTGAATTAATTAATTTGAAATTATCGACGTTCCATCGTATTTTTAAAAAATAAGAAACCGTGCTTTTTATCGTAACTGCTCTCGATATCCATTATAATTATAAGTACGTATACACTATCACAGGTGAAAAAAAAAGAAAGAAACTCTCGAACTAACTTCTCACGACGGGATTCCAAGATAAAATAACCGAGGATATGCCTTTTCGCATAATCGACGAGGATAGACGAAAAGATAAGAATTATCATAGGCGTCGCGAGTGACGAGGAAATTATCTCAACAATCACCAAATTTCGGTGTCGTTCCCAGAATATTTAAGCACCCTCGCGGGTTCGATGTCGGTGGGTCTGGGCCTAGGGCTTTTGCAAACACTCGCAATGGGAATCGAGATGGTCACGTTCATGTCGAAGTTCACGTTCCCATCGAGGGGAGGTTCGGGGCTGGAGATCGTTTCGGGATAATTGATCCTCTCCTTCAACAACTCCTCTTGCAACTCCTCGGAGGGGGTTCTGCAGATCTTGGACGATTTCTCCCCGGAAAACTTCTTGATAAACATTATCGGGCTGTTCGCCATCCTGTAACTCTCGCTCCGTTTCACCTTCCTCTCCACCCTCGAATCGTTCCCACCTCCTCGAAACGTGTCCAACCTCCTCGAGGCTTGCCCGTTATCCACGCACGCCACCCCCCCGAAATCCGAGTACTCGATCGTCCAACGATCGTCCCTCTCCCTCGACGACCACCCAAACTCCTCGTCGACGGAGCCCCGTTCCA